TTTTTTAGCATGATAAAATCCTCCTTCATCCATTCTGAAACATCTTTATCTAATTTTTCATTTTGATTTTTTCCCCATTGAATGACAATATCCCAAATATCGATTTCTTTTAATTCTAAGTCATCTCTTTCTAACATAGTAATAAGCATAGACTTTTCAATCATTGTGATGTCATTGGATTTAAAAAACAATTCAGGATTTTTACTAATTATTTCACTACAATAATCTTGAAGCAAATTGAACGATTGATGTTGTGATGAGATTGTATGAGCATAAATTAAATTCTGTTGAACCCATTCTTTTTGTTCTTTGATCAAATGGTCTTGTAAGTCATTAATCAATTCATCAATGTTTAATTCATCACATGCTTCAAGAAGTTCAACAATTTGAGCAGCATTTAGATTGTCTATCTAATTATTCCATTATAAATATATCTTTAAAAAACACAAATAGATAAGATAAGACAGATTGTCAATCATTCAATTATTTAAATATTTAAACCCAAAAAAAACTTACATTAAAAGAACTTCAAAAATTTTTGGTGAGATATTTTTTTTTTCAAATAGAATAATACCATCATCAGATTGTTTTGTCCAGTTATTTGATAAAGCAACCTTGAAATATGAAGATCTTGCTTTTAAAATGGTGGAATGAACCTTAAAAGTTTTAACATCCTGGTCTGCTCCAACTCTAAGCATTCTCATTATTAGAATTTATAATATTTTCAAATAACGTTTTTTCCGAGGACAATTAAAACCATTGTGAATTAACTTTTTTTTGTAAAATAATTTTTTTTTTTGGATTTGTTGTACCCGAATTTTTTTATCAGATTTTTTAGAAAATGTTTAATAATAATAAACATATATTTAAAAAATTTCAATTATCTAATCTTGGTTTGTAATTACAATAAAACTTTTAAAATCGAAACTAGTTAAATATTATAATAGCAATAATGATAATATGTGTTCGTTCATCAATTTCTTAAAAAGACTTTCGAATGAAGTTTCAAACCAACAGTTACATTAACAGCAGTAACAATAAAAGCATTGATTCAAAGTAAAGTTTCATATATCACAAGGTATTTTGTTGATATATATTATTAACACACGTATAATCACAAATTTTTTTATTTTTGATTAAGGAATAACGAAAAGTTGGATTTTTTGTACGGATACTCTGTGGTTTTACCAGCTCTTGAACAAAAACGTCGAAATTTAGTTCGTTTGTTTTATCAAGAAACAACTTTTTCTAAAAAGCAAGATAGGCAGGTACATGGTTTATTCTTTACTTCTTCTTCTTCGACGCGGTGGTTCAATTGATCTTTCTTCATTCTAATTTAATGGTGTAATTTATTATTATTATTTTAGAATGGCAATTGAAAAGATAGTCAACCTATCAAAAGAATCTTCTATTCCGGTTGTAAAGGCTGATAAGCAAGAATTGAATCGATTGGTGGATAATCGTCCGCATCAGGTTTACATTTTTCATAACATTTTATTCCTGATCTGAAATATCCAAATAATGATCATATTTATAATTCTACAATGATTCCAAAAAGGGTGTAGTTTTAAAAGCCTCACGCATCAATCCAACTCCTATAAAATTTCTTGGAGGCTATTTCAATGAAAGGTAAAATTCCTTTTAGAAACTAAATAAATACTTTTCAAATCCTTTGTTTTCTCATTCATTACATTGGACCCTACGTCTATGTGGCAATTGTTTAGTTATGAAATCATAGAGTCAAATACTAATTCTACAACAATTTGTCAAAAATCTTTAAAAAACCCATTGCTGCCCTTTTGGCTGGCTCTAGATCAAATAGTTGATCCACAGCTTAGGCTCTATTGGTATTTTTATTATTATTACTATTATTATTATTATTATTATTTTT